ATCCGAACTGGTATCTGTATCTGTATCTGTAGCTGTATCTGTAGCTGTAGCTGTAGCTGTATGTGTAGCTCCTCCTGCGACTCGAATTGCGGAACACATCCCCATCTGCCGTTGGCCTTTTGACTTCGGAGCAGAATGGGAGGAGCCCACAGCATTTGGTGACTTTTGCCGTTCGCCGGAAGTAGTTAACCGACCGAAAGAGGAGTCTTGGATTGGGGAATGAGACCGAGGGTCCAATTGGCCAGAGGATCCACAACGTAGGCTCCTGGAGCTTGGTGCTCCATCTCCAGCTTCTTCTAATGGCAGCAAATCATTTACAGATGTCGCAACATTTTGCATAAAAATTTGCCGTCACACAGACAACAGAGGAGTCGACCGTTAGACGCAAAGTTGCACCTGCTGCAAAAAGGGGCACCACCTAACCACCAATCCAACCATGGAGCCACCCAACCACGCAGCCATTCATTCAATGGCCTTAAACGCTTTTCCAAGCAGGAAATGCATTTTCATTTAGCAGCGGAAATAGCTGCAAATGAGCTTTTAGTTTTTGCTCACCTTCGCTCCTGGCTTCGTCCTGGTGCATCCGCATTTCCGGTCCACCGTCCACCGTCCACCATCCACCAGATCATCCTGCTCCTCCTACTACCACTTCATCCACTTCATCCACCTGTTGCTCCTGGTGGAGCTGCTCAAGCATTAGCATTAGCGGCCAGTCAATGGCCATCGATGTCCTGCATTTGGTTTTGGTTTGGGTTTGAGCTTGGGTTTGGGTTCGGTTTCGGTCCAGCGCCTCTCCCTGCGGAAATATGCGTCTGCCACACGTCCGCCAAATGCCGCATGTGTGCGTAAGTGAAGTACACTGAACAAAAGAACAGAACTTCTTGGATTCAATAAGAATAAGTAAGTAATACTTAATGTAATATATTTCGTTTTAAGATACAGATATCGGATAATTTTGTATGGTAAGTTTCTATGAATGAAACCTAGAATTTTTAGAAAATCTTGTTCGAATGCATAAGTATTTTTCAGTGCACTTACAATCCCATTCAGTTAATGGATTGGCGGGTGGCAACAACTTCATGCGAGATTGTGCGTAGGTGAAATTTGTTTTTAATCGTGTTAGCCACCACTTGGAATTAGTTTCCACTGCAGTTTCATCAGCTGGCGAAAACCTTCATCAGTTCTCAGATGGAGCAGCTCCCATACAGAGGTCACCAACTTCCTTGGGGTCACCACACAAGATTCTCACTGCATAAAATGGGGAAATGCAGAGCAGAGTTACACATCTTATCGTGGCATAAATTTACTTACGTAAAACTGGCTCTGCCATTACCTAATATTCAAAATAATGAAACCAGTAATTAAATTTATCAACCATTTATCTTATTGTTATTGTTTGAGGAAAGGCGAACCCCTCCACATTATCCCCACTAAATAAACGCCAACTGATTGGCCATTTTGACCCTGTTCCCCCATTTTACCCCCAATACCCGCTCCCATTTTCGGCCAGAGACGATTTACAAATGGGCATGGCAAGTAAATATGTCAAGTGCAGGCGGTCGACCCCAAAAAGGAGGAGGATGGATGAAAATAAAAGCACACACACTCAACTCCACTTGCATCCACTGGAATCGAGTGGAGTCTCCGTGCGGAAAAGCGGACAAAAATGCTTTGGCCTTTTTGGTGCCTGCATTTCCGGTTGCACTCAGTGGCCAACGGTTGCAGTGTAAATTGGTCAACTAAATTATGCAGCATCAGTTGCAGTTGCAGTTGCAGCCAAGCTGTTGCTCCTCCTCCTCCAGCCCGAACCCCCGAAAGAATCCTTGCCATTTCCCAGGACAGCCCATCGACACCAGGAGCAACAGCTGAGTGCAATTTGCATTCCATAAAACTTTAAAGCTAAATAAAGTGTCGCCACTTCGGGCGATGTTGCTGCTGCAAGTGCAATTCGTGTTGCTGCTGTCTAAAGCGGAATAACAACCTTGAGGAGCTTATGAAGGAAATTCAGTGAAGTCAATGGAATTTAAACGAATTTAATAGTAGAAATAAGAACATGTATTTTCTTTCTCTCATTTTTATAAGCACCTTTTATTTAAAATGTTTTGAGAACTGAATATATTATTATCTATAATTGGAGTAGTTTTTTGTTTAACCATAAAAGTGATTACTGATTATTAACATTAATTAAAAAGAATTACCTTTTGGTAAACAAGTTAATTTATGCCAAATTTCAATCCGATTTTGCCGCCAAATAATTTTTCGGGGTCAAATGGTTCGGGCTCCTTTTGGTGTTGGCCATATTCATGGCGGCCAGAAACATATGTTCGCGGTCTTTATTTGGTGGTCAACTGGTTCAGTGCCGCCCACTCCCGCCGCCCACTCCCCTTAACCCTCCGATGGTCGGGCTTAACCCCGGCTATTTGTCACTTGCAACCGCGACGGCCATTTCCGTTGGCCAGCCGCCATATTTATGCAGTTGGTCGCTGGTCGGCATGTAGTTTTTCGCTTTTTCGCTTTTTCGTTTCGACTTGTTTTTTGTTTTTTTTCTGCGCTCTTTTCAAGTTTATGCAGTCGCGAAATTGCTGACAATTGATAGGCCATGGCAATGGCAGTGGCGGTGGCAGTGGACCAGGTCCCAGTCTTGACTTGGCCCTCGTTCGGTGGCCACAATTTAGCGCGCGGCGACTACCGAAAAGTGCAGCAGCCACATCCAAACTACAGTGAGCCAAAAAGCTTTTACCAAGGAATGTAAAGCTAAATATTTAGAGAAATATATACCTATAACAATATAAAGTGGATTATAATCAACCAGTAAAGGATAATGCTTTGCAAAAAGAAAGAGAAACATAAAAAGAAATTAATCTGTTTGGAAATTACATATGAATAATATTCCAAAACATATCATAGAATTATTTTATGGAACTTTAGGCGTAAGTAAGTAAATCAGGATATTTTTCTCTGTGCATCAGTAACTTGAATGCAGATTGGCTCGAACTCGAACCCGGACCCGTCTCTTGATGAATGCACAAATAATGGGGATGCATAATGCCGAACAGGAAATAAATTATGCTCAGTCGCAGTTGGGGTCTCGGTGCTTTACTGCCACTGTAGGAGGACAGCAAACTGAAAACTGCGAACTGAAAACTGCAAACTGCGAACTGAAAACTTCAGACATTGGACAGAAGCAGAAGCAACCAGCGTAATAACAACAATCAACATGATTATCATTAGCAGCCTCATCATTCCGATACTCCTAATCATCATTATCAATCACAATCCAAAACACTAAGCAACACAACTTATTTTAAATAAAACAATTCTTATGAATATTATACTTACTTTGGGATTTTTGTAAATGGCACTAATGGCATGTAAAATCTTTTAATCATTTTAGGGTCTTTTACAGATTTGTTATACTTATCTGCCATATGAATTACTTTTACTTGAAGTTTTATTCGAAAAGATTATTTTATTCAAGTTTAAATATTGTGAGTTTTACTGTTTTATGCATTTTTTTCAAAACATAAGTTTGCTGGCCAGTGTAAGATCATCATCGCTTTTGCCGGCTATGGAGAGGCTAATTTTGTTTGATTTTGATTCTGATCGAATTAGCGTAAAATTGAGCGTTCGTCAACTTTTGGGAGCGGGTTCGCGACCACTCGCTGATCCCTGCCAGCGGCAAGGCGGAGGCAAGGGATATAGAAGTCGGATTCGGATTCGGAGTCGGAGTCGGAACGTGGGCTCATTGACAAGTCGGAGTTCAGATCTTCAGATGGCGCAGGCCGCGTGCGGGGCATTAAAGAGGCGTGGAATCAAGACCCGCCAGATGATTTGCATTTGCCGTTGCACTGACCGAAAAAGGGAGTATAGTCATATGTGTTTTTTTTAATATTATATATGCCTCATTTAGGTTTTCCCTCATATCTGTCGTAATATTTAAAACAATTTGGTTATACTGATGTTGAATTTGTGAATGGTGAAGTAGGTGTATTATATTTTAAAGATATTATTCCTATTCGAACTTTTTATAGGCGTGTTGCTTTGCTGCTTGGGTCGGCGTAATTGACCAAGTTATTTTGCGCTTGCTTGGCCCGGCTCCTGGGGGCAAATTGATTTTGCTTCGTGCCTCATCAGCAGCGACAATTGCCCTTGCGATGATCGCCACGATGATTGGGCTTCCTGGGCTTCTTAAGCTTCTTAGGCTTTTCTTCGTGCGCTCACGTAGCCGCTGCCCCTGGTTCCCCTTTTCCTTTTCCCTATTCCACGCCCCTTGAATCCCCTCGCATCCTGAGACGACGCCCCTGGCGGCTGCTGCTGTTGTCCCTCGACCGGCTACCGATGTTTTTTGCGGTTTCACACTTTGGTTAAGGTTCCTGCCCTTCGCACTCGGACTCGCACTCGCGGTCAGGCCCCAGTCATTGGGTCACAGCCCGGCAGAGAAGCTATTCCCCAAATAAAGTCGGCCTCAAATCAAAATTGAAAAGAACCCCGAACACCGAAACATTTGCGAAAGCTGTTAACCAAAAACCCAAACTATAATCTAATTCTAAGCTGACAGAAATAGTAAAAGCTTAAAGTAGTGAGACGTCTGCTGTAGGTCTTCTGGTAGTTAAGTTTTAACTAACTATAAATAGGTATCAGCTCCTTTTTTTGTCCATTTGTTATATTCCGATTTTTCACTAAAAAATCACTGTTTTTTTTGGCAAAATCTTAGGCAACAAAGATCGTTATTGAATTCTAAATCGTTTGGCATTCAATTGTGAAAAAAATTTGTGATGATACACCTTATAAAAAATGCCGAAAAATTAATTCTTCCAAGTGATCCAAAAATGATGGGAATCGTTAGCTATGGTCATTAGCTTTCCAAAACAGTGTTTAGTTTGACTGTAGGTGCCTTTTTGAGTAAATTACAACTAAATTCCCCTTACCAAAAGCGCTAAATATGCAATGACCATACAACTTCCTTACAGATTACGTTGTGATTGAACTTTCAAACATACTTTGCTTACAAAATTTGATATTTAATGAGCTCGGGCGGAAGGCCGAAAAAAAAGAGTTTACAATTGGTTTACTTACACTATTACAAAAAGCGATTGGAACTTAAAGCGAATCCTAGGCGCCTACTTAATATACTTGTCCATGAACTTCTTGTGGAAATCGGAACGCAGGGCATCGTTGACGAAGTGCGTCTTCTTTTCGGGAGCGGAACGGGCACAGTTCTTGAACACCACATCGTCGTCCCAGCGGCGCTTGATCTTCAGGTCACCGCCGAGACCGGAGGCGCGTCCCGCGGCCGAAGCGGCGGTTCCGGGTTCGTAGTTGATCAGCGGATTGCCAGAGAGGATGTTCTCCATGCGGATGCGCTCGTCCTCCTGCTTCTTCTCCGACTCGCGGCGAGCGGTCTCCTGCAGGCGCTCCTGCTTGATCTTCTGCAGCTCGGCGAGCAATGCGGCATCATCGTCATCCGAATCGCTGTCCGAATCGGAACTGTCGTTGTCCAGCGGTTCGTCGGCGTCCAAATTGGCGGCCTGCTGCTGCTGCTGCAACTGTTGCTGGTGGACAATGTCTGGTTTGGCCCGCTTGCCGCCACTGCCACCGCCGCCAGCGTTGTTCGCCTCGATGGCCTTGCGCACAATGGAGGGCAGCGCCTTGCCCGAGGTTGCTCCGGAACGAGCCTCGCGCTCGCGCTCCTCCAGCTCCTTGCGGAAGTCACGGTTGCGGATCTCCTCGCTGGTGCCCTGGCCCGCCTCCCTGCAGCGGAACATATATGTTTTAGTTTCACTCTGGTAAGTAATCCTCAATATTGATTGTATTACCTGTATTTCAGTTTGGTGTGGCCTGGCAAGTCGCGACTGGAGTACTGTTTGCTCAAAGCACTCAAATCCTTTTCACCGCGACCAGAGCCTCCGCGGGCGGGGTCGAATGTCGGTCGTGCTGCTGTGGTCATTTTAATTTAACTAATTCTTAGGGATATCCAAAATAAACGTATTTAACTGCGTGCTTTATTTCGTTGGCTTGTTTTATTGTGGCAGTGTGACCGTGGGGCACAAATAAGAAATACCTTAAATGAAAGGTTTGTGTCTTGGAGTGTCTAACCAACATAAGTAACACCCCTAATAGTATGCAAATTCAAATAACAGATGGGCATCACTGCCTCATCAGCTGTTCGTTCTGGGCAGCACTATTTTGGTAAACACGCGCGGACCGCCGCCGTATTAAGCCAAATAAATCCGGAAAAGTAAACCCTTTGCCGGAGTTATATCCATCTCCTCTTGTGCTTGTGAGCTCCAACGATCCCTCCCCATCGACGGACATGCAGGCGAACCTACTAGGCCGCAGCGGCCACCTGTTGCGTCACAGCCTCCAAAACACCAGGATATGGAAGCCAAGATTCACGAGCACCGCTGCAGGAAAGGATCCGGAGGAGGACAGCCTAACCATCGGTGATGTGAGCGTGCGTCTGCAGAAGCCCAAGGATCCCCAACTGGTGCCACAACAATACGGTAAGGATGAGGATTCCGGATTGTCATATAAGATTCCCGGAAAGTACAAAGGTCAATTATCTCTTGCCCTGCGAACTGGATGTCATTTGATTATTATATCATCTTAAGAAGGTGGAGGTTTGGAAAGATAAGCCCTACAAGCTGGCAAATGGCCCTATTACTAAAATGTGTTTGAATAATAAGAAAAGTACCTCAACAAGAAATTTTGAAATCTTAGTAACGATGATCCTAAAGTCCAAAAACATAAACATGAAGGCAGAGCTGTTAATCAAATCAAACAAGTAGAAACCAGGCAAGCGAAAGAACAGGAAAAAACGAAAAGAACTTAAAAGAGCTCTAACCACACACTTGTAATCTTAAAAGCAAAAGATGAAGGACTATAACAAAAAGAGGCAGGAGTGGCTGAAAAATGGTCATGGCAAATTCACTGATCTGGCTGACGAAAAGAAGTTCTTCGCAATGACCAAGAAATCTCCGAATTTTGTGTGCCATTTCTACGAGAAAAACAACGAGCAAAGCAAGATTGTGGACAAACATCTCAGGATCCTGACTCCCGAACACGTGGAAGCCAAATTTTGTCGATTGAACTGCGAAAAGGCGCCTTTTCTCACCAAACGACTGCGCTTGACGGAGTTGCCCACAATTCTCCTGGTGAAGGACGGCAAGATCAATGACTTTATCGTCGGGTTCACCGATCTTGGCAATCGCAGCGACTTTACCACAGAGATGATGGAACGGCGAATCGGAGTGTCTGGGATCATCGAATACAAAGGCAACCTTAAGCAGCCTCCGAATGGAAAGAATACCACAAACCAAAAGCAAACAGTCAATCGCTCGAAAAAAACAAAACGAGGCGGCCAAGAACCCCAGAAATGATCTGCATTTCAAATACATGTTTAGCTCTGTATAGGAAAATTATTTAAATTATAGAAAAATAAATTTAAGATAATTTAAGCATACTAGAAGATATGTATGTATTTTATAAAACGATTTTCAATTTCAGTGAAATACGCTCCGGATGGCACGCTTCAGTTGTCGCAATCGGCGCTCCATCACCTGCGTTGGATGCTGCAGAAGGATGCGCTGCGGCAGGACATGTTCCTGTTGGGACAGCCGGGTCCCCTGCGCCGCCAGCTGGCCATGCAGTTCCTGGAGCTCACACAGCGCGAGGTGGAGTACGTGTCCCTCAGCCGGGACACCACCGAGAGCGACCTGAAGCAGCGACGCGAAATCCACGACAGGGCGGCCGTCTATCACGATCAGGGAGCAGTGAGAGCGGCGCTCAATGGTCGCGTTCTGGTTCTCGATGGAGTGGAGCATGCCGAAAGGAATGTTCTGCCCATACTGAACAATCTGCTCGAGAATCGCGAGATGCACTTGGAGAGCGGCAAGTTTTTGATGTCGCCCGAGCGTTACGACAAGCTTTTGGAGGTGCGTGGTTTCCCTAATCTTAACACCTGATTTTTGTTAACTTACTTCGTAACTCTTTTCAGAAACACACCCGCGAGCAGCTGGATGAATGGGGTCTGCTGCGCGTTTCGGAGCAATTTAGAGTTGTGGCTTTGGGCTTACCAACCCACAAGTACAAGGGCACGCCGCTGGATCCTCCACTGCGTTCCCGCTTCCAGTCGCGCAATGTAACCACCTACTCCTATGGCGAACTCTACGAGGAACTGCAGCAGGAGGCGCCTTCTGTCCCTGGCGAACACCTAAAGCAATTGCTCACCTTTGCCTTGACTTTGCAGCAAGCAGATCCGACTCTCCAACTGCCGGATTTTCCACTCCACAACCTGCAACTGGGCGTCAAAATGCTGGTAGGCATACTTTTCATCAATCCTCTTAAACCACTAATTTCTCCTTCATCTGTTACCAGGAAACCAATCCCTCGCTGAGTCTGCACGATGTCCTTAGTCGCATTTTTCCATATCAAACCATGCTTAAGTCCGATCAAAAGAAGCGCGTTGAGGAGCTGCTCAAGAAACTGGACATCCAACTGATTCCCAGTGGGAGCATCAAGAAAATCGACAGCAACAGGGGAGATCAATCCGGGATTATCATTCGTTTGGATGACCTGCAGCTTGATTTGCCTGGTGGACAAACCCCACCGGCTGTCACTAACTTTGTGGATCTGCCGCATCAGAGACAAGCCCTCGCCAGTCTGCTGCAGGCCTACGCAGTTGGGGATGTGTGTCTCGTGGGCGAGAAGGGTGTGGGCAAGCTAACCCTCACCCAGGAACTCCTACGCCTTCTCCAGCAAACCTCGGAGCCCATGATGCTGTACGAGGACATGACCAGCAGGGATATTGTGCAGCAGCGCATCACGAGTCCGCAGGGGGACACTGTGTGGCGGGATTCACCGCTGGTCCGGGCGGCCAAAACAGGATCCGTGGCGATTCTCAATGGCCTGCATCGCCTGCACAAAAGCACAGCCAGCGTTTTGCAGAGGTACCATATGTGAAAAAGGGATTCTATAACTTAGAGTATATATTTATTTATTACATTCTCTTGCAGACTCATCCACGATCGTGAACTGCAGCTGTGCGATGGCACCACTCTCCTAGGTGCAAATCGCTATCAATCGCTGATCCAACAAGGATTCACGGAGGAGCAGCTGGACAAACTCGGTTTCCTGCCCATGCACGAATCGTTCCGCGTGGTGGCTTTGGCGGAACCGCCGCGTCTTGGTGGCGGACAGCCCAGTTGGCTGACACCCGAGCTGCTCAGCCTGTTTCTCTACCAGGAGCTGCGTCCCCTGCGCCAGAGCGAAGAGCAGGAGCTGCTGGCTCAGCTCTGCGGTGGAGAACTGCCTGCTGGCATGGACCCTCTGCTTAAGTTGGCCCAACTGCTGCGCTCCTCGCAGGATCCCCTGCTGCAAGGTCTGGCGGGCACTTTGTCCACCAGGCAACTCCTGAAACTGGCTCGCCGCTTGGCTGCCTATCCGGATAGTGAGCAAAGTGACCTGTACGAAATGCTGCAGAACACATTCCTCGCCAGATTCATGCCCGCCCTTTCGCGGAGTGCCCTGGAACAAGCCATCCACCAAGTGGGCATCGAGCCGAGGGAAACGAAGCTGAAGTTCAGGAAAAACCAGATAGCCGTGGAGGACAACTCGCTGAGGATCGGCTCCACGCGCTGGCCCTTGGGCAATCCCAGCCAAGCACAGCTTTCAAAGGTTCCCAGCACCCTGTTCTACGAGATGCCGCAGCATGTCCAGCTGCTGGAGCGCCTGCTGCAGGACTACCTCATCGGCGAGCACCTTCTCCTAGTGGGCAACCAAGGGGTGGGCAAGAACAAGCTGGTGGACCGCCTGCTGGAGCTGATGCAGCGTCCCAGGGAGTACATCCAGCTGCATCGCGACACCACGGTGCACAGTCTGACCCTCCAGGCGACGCTCAAAGACGGCCAGGTGTCGTACGAGGACAGTGCGCTCGTCCAAGCGGTGCGCTCCGGTCACGTTCTGGTTGTGGACGAGGCGGACAAGGCGCCAGTGAACGTGACCTGCATCCTGAGAACTCTCGTGGAGAGCGGCGAGATGGTGCTGGCCGACGGTCGGAGGATTGTGCCACCGGGTGCCGGCAATCGAGTGCCCAACTCCATTGAAACGCATCCCGATTTCCGGCTGATTGTGCTGGCCAATCGTCCTGGGTTTCCCTTCCTGGGCAACGACTTCTTCGCCGCTTTGGGTGATGTCTTCAGCTGTCACGCCATCAGCAATCCCGATCCGGACTCCGAGATCTTCCTGCTGCAGCAGTACGGTCCGCAGGTGCCGATCAAAACGCTTCGCACGCTGGTGAACGCCTTTGGAGAGCTGCGCACGCTGGCCGACGAGGGAATGCTCAACTATCCGTACTCCACGCGCGAGGTGGTGAGCATTGTGAAGCACCTGCAACGCTACCCGGAGGAGAACATGTCCGAGGTGGTGGGCAACGTGCTGGACTTCGATCGCTACCAGCCGGAGGCCCTGCAGCAGGTCACCGCAGTGCTGGCCAAGCACGGCATCGAGTCGTACGCCGAGGAGGAGATCCAGGCCATCCGCAGGCAGAAGACGCTGCAGGCGTCCGTGAAGCGCCACAGTGGACTTGGTGTGTCGGGGCCGAAGTTTGGCAAGCTGGATCCCAAGAACGAGCCGCATGTCGGCGGCAATACGTGGGCAGGTGGCAGCGGTGGGCGTGACACCGCCGGACTGGGCGGCAAGGGCGGTCCCTTTCGCCTGGACAAGGGGCACAAGGTGCACCAGCTGAGCGACGAGGAGAAGGCCGACGTGCCCGAGGAGATTAAGCGGGCAGCGCGCGAGATGAACCGCAAGGCGTTCGAGGACAAGCTCAAGGAGATCAAGATGTCCGCCCACGACCACCAGCTGTACGCCCAGTTCAGCGAGCCGAATCGCAAGCAGGTGCAGCAACTGAAGGCCGTCCTGGAAGCCATGCAGACCAAGAGCAAGGAGCGCCAGTGGCAGAAGTACCAGACGCACGGCGACCTGGATGACACGCGGCTGGTGGAGGGCATCACCGGCGAGAAGAACATCTACAGGCGGCGGGCGGAGGCGAATCCCTGGGCGGATCACGTCCAGGAGAAGCCCAACCGACTCAAGCTGGTCGTGGACGTCTCGGGATCGATGTACAGGTGAGTTCTGGTTAAGATCTTGGAGATGTGCAGCTGGGTTTGCATGATAAGCTTTTCCACAAATCATTCTTAGCTTAGCTTAATAACTTAATAAATTATTTTTCATAATAGTACTTACTCCGTTAATTGCTGATGCACTGCATCCTTTTCCAATTCCGATAGAAAGTCCATTCGTCTGCTGCACACCCACACACACACACACACACTCTAAAGACCTGCAACGAAAGAAATAATGCAAAAAATTAGTTTAATAAAAATTTTAAATAACTTGAACATACCTCATTGGCCATAGATGCACTGCATCCTGAACGCCACTCCAGGGAAGAAGGCATCGGCATCCATACCCTGCAATTAGATGAAAATACATAACAATTAATTTGCTTATTTAATTAAATTTATTAATTCCAAGAGTCCGTACCAAGTCAGGTGATGGTGCACTGCATCCCGGAGAGGGGTCCAGTAGAGCGCACTTTATCCGCACAATGTACACTCTACCCTGAAATTAAATAAAAACAAAAAAATAAAATAAGTAATTTGTTATAAACAGGGCTAACAGAGTTATGTTCTTAAAAACGTAAAAATATGTATGGATTTATGGACGAAAAAATAGAGATATATGGACGAAAAAGTTGACAAATATGGAATAAAATGAATAAATATGGATAAATATTTGTAGTATAGACGCAAAAAGGGATAAATATAGGCATAAAAATGGATAACCGTAGACGATTATATCGATCAATTAACTTTTTACGACAATGAACAATTAGAAATCGCTAGATTTTTCTCAAAGATCATTGCAGAACAATATGACATGTTGTGTCAGATTAGTAAAAACAAAACTACGGCGTTTGTCACTCAATATGTGTTTATATGATGAAAATGAACGCTCAACATCGCAAGATGTAACAGGAGCATTTGCATATGTATGCATTCAGTTCAGCAGGTGATAAATTCAGGATAAGATCGTCACCTTCTGTAGAACTATCAACTGAATCTTAAAATATAAACTGCATCATAATTGTTACATTCGATGATACATATTTTGATTGATGTTTTGTTTACATCATTTATTATCGAGTATAAGGCAAACGACAGAAATTTCATAATTTTTGAGCCAAACATATCTTTCTAAAGGTTTTCAGACACTTTAATGCTCAAAATATGGATTTATTCAAGTGATTGTGTAAAATATGGATTTATAGGAAAAAAGGCGAAAATATGGAAATAAATATTTTTTCATTTAAAAACATAACTCTGTTAGCCCTGTATTATAAATATTAATTGGCAGTATTATTAGTCAGTATTAACTTGCTAATAAAAGGGGTACTTACCGCTTTGGGGTTTGATGCACTGCATCCTGAAGTCCTCCCCATGCAGGCAGGTATCGGGCACTTTTAAGTTCATGCCAAGTCGTCGGGTTATGATGCAGTGCATCCTCCGCTTCAAGCAGGTGCCTCTTCCCCCTTGGTGTGGATCAGGATGCAGTGCATCATCACTTGACTTGTCATGGAGTTGTGATGATGCACTGCATCCTGATCCACACCAAGCAGGAAGGCACCTAGCAAAAGCTCATGCCAAGTCCAGGCTTTGATGCACTGCATCCGGGAGTGGTCTCCAGTGGGGGGGTACCATCAGGTACGCACTCTGGAACCACACACGCACTCAGGAACCACATACCCACACACACACACTTCCAGAGACCGGAAAGAGTTTCTCAGAGAAACTGCCGGTCATACCGGAGAACTGACCAAATTGACCAAAATCCACTGGTATCCCACCACAAATCAGCTAAAACCACTTGGGAATTACAGGTGCACCAAAACGAAAAAAATGTTTAATTATCATGGTCGCTGACGTGGCCATATTAATTAAGTTAACATTAAGTTAACATTAAATTTACATTAAATTTACATTATATTAAAATAACATTATGTTAACATTTAATTAACATTATATGGATTTAAATTAACATTTCACATTTAAAATATTTTTTTGCCTTATGCATTTGGGCTGATGCACAAATTTTTGGTGTTGTTGAATTATTAAAAGAGGCTAAAAAAAAGATGTCCTGACATCCATTTGATCAGTTAATTTGAACATTTGCATTCCCTTTAACCTACTATTTTTAATTTAAAAGGTTTAAAATAATCTGTTTCACAGTTTTTGTTCCATAACAAGGACCAATTTAAATAAATTGATCTATATCTATAGCGGCCTTCCTTTTTTAGCCCGCTCCTTATTTCATAGATTTCAATAAAACCCCTCAACCCTTCAAAAAAACATTTTATTTAATTTTATTTGTAGTATAGCAAATAATTCCAAACCGAATCGATATTCTGAGCTCTTTCGTTCACTTTGCCTTTTTCAGGTTCAACGGCTACGATGGACGGCTGGACCGTCAGTTGGAGGCAGTGGTCATGGTGATGGAGGCTTTCGAGGGCTTCGAAAAGAAGATAGTCTACGACATCATCGGCCACAGCGGCGAGGGCTGGGAGATTCCGTTCGTGACCGCTGGCAGTCCACCGAAGAACGACAAGGAGCGCTTCGAGGCCATCCGGATGATGCACGCCCACTCGCAGTTCTGCTGGTCCGGGGATTCCACGGTGAAGGCGGCGCGGGAGGCCTGCTCCACGCTGGGAGCGGAGCAGGACTACGACAACGCCATCGTCGTCGTTCTCAGCGACGCCAATCTGCAGCGCTACGGCATCGCTCCCAAGGATCTGGCAGTGGCCCTCAAGCGGGGCGAACCGAAGGTCAAGGGCTATGCCATCTTCATCGGCAGTTTAGCCGAGGAAGCCGATGAGTAAGTACAAAAAAACTATATAAATCCTACGAAAAATCAGTTTAATTCTCCTCATTAATCTTCTAATTTTTTTCCAGGATTAATGCGGAAATGCCGGCGGGTCAGAGCTTCGTCTGCATGGACCTCACCAAGCTACCTCACATCCTGCAGCAGATCTTCACATCCTCGCTGCTTTAGGATCGCGTATCTAGTGCAATTTGTAGATAGTTTAAGTTTATGTTGAACACAGTGTTGATAATTCCAATTGTAGTTAAGCCTGAATTGAGTCTATAAATCGATTTTTATCTAAAATAAAGAATAAAATGTACAGCATAAACAAGAGGGTTTTTATCAAATATAATATTTACTAAAAAAACAACGATTTTGTTTTGCATTTTTATTTGTATTGTTTATTAATTGCCTTGCTGTTTATGCTTGCTATTTGATTACTTGTCATATAATTTACAAATTACATAAGTATTCAATACAAAAAAAAACAATTTCGAACTCGAGGATTTCTCCGGCAGGGATTTCTCTCATTCTGGCGGGGCTTACGGGGAATACAAAAAATAAACAATTCGTGGTTTTACATTAATTAAATTTGGTATAAAAATCTAAAACAATTTCTTCCGCTTTTTTTTCTCGTTACATTTTACATTACACTATTCTTTTGTTTTTGTTCTTTTTTTTGTCGTTTGTATATGCATTTCTGTATTTATATTAAATATTGTTGCAAATTCATGAATTAATGTGTTAGCAAAAAACGCTTAAATATACGTGTGTATAATATATACTCTTGATCCGTTATATAAGGCGTGCGAAATAGGTGGCGAGGCCAGTGTGATTTTTTAAACCAAAAATCGTTGCACCTGGAAGTTGATATTCGATATTTGAAAGCTCTTATAAGTACGGATAAAAAACAAACCGTGGCTTGTGGAAGAAATCGAATCTTTGGGGTAAATAAACTGTCCCCAGTCACTTATGTCGCACACCTTACTGCATAGTCTATACAAGTTGTGATCCTTGCAAATTCTCATGATCTATGGGACAGGGAAGAGGGTCGGGACTGATCGCTTACACATGTATAATTCTTTCTCTCGTCCGATCGGTCGATCATTCTCGTGAGTGTCGTGTATATAGCTAACATTCTTACAGACATTATCGCTAGAAATTTGCCATTTGCATTCGCGTTTGCAGTTGCGATTGCATTTTGCACTTGAATTGAACCAAAACGAGCTAAGAAATGCAACTGAAACACGCCTTCGAATTGGTCTAAGAACACACACACTTGGGGATCGGTCGGTATAAAAGCTAAGTTTCACTTAAAAACATAACAACAAAGTTGGGGCCCATGAAGGCAAGCAGGCGTACACATACATACGTAGTTGGTAGGTTGGTAGTATCGAACCGAAGAATTCTCATGCGTTATTACACTTATGTACAGGAAAATCAAAACCGATTTGAATTGGACGACATTTAAGTTACACGGACCGAAAATCGCGGTTCCAGATTAGGGCTCTCTCTTACGAATTCTAATTAAATCATTATGAACAAAAAAAAAAAAAAGAAACCTAAACCAAATCTCTTTTGGGAGTATGTGACGACCCGAGGACAGTGCGTTTCGGGGCTGTAAGAGCGTAGGAGGTGATTTGTGAAAGTGCAAATGCTATTTCCTTCTAAACATTATCTCCTGAGTAAGAAAGTAAGTGAATTAAACTTATAGAATGACTTCGAATGAAACCTTAGGTTGCTGAATAAATAAGGGATACACACACCCTACAGCTCCGAAACGCACTGTACCGGGCTGCGATCGAATAACCTTTCGCTTCACTGGATCGAGCAATGGAGAGGAGGGAGGTAGTTCTTACAAAACGGGTTTCTATTTACAGATTACGATATAGATTAGGAGTTGCTTCGCACAACCCGTAGCAGGGACACGAAATCCCGTCCAGATCTGGGGTCACTCCGCCCCCTTTCCTAAATTCGCCACCACATAATATAATCTCTGTATTCTAAGCACAAATCGGTTACTCCTCCTCCGTCTCCGTCTCCATCTTCCATCTTCCATTATCTTTCATCTATGTACACAAATGACAAAGTTCTCTGCACCTGACATAGCATATCCTATATACATTATATGGCATAAATAGATATAAATTTATAAAGACTAATGTTAAACACACACATGCACAGACGCACAGAGACAGGCACACGCACACAAACACGTACACGTACACGTACAAATTTTGGCGATTTTCAAGTTGATTGCAAAGGGTTTCCATATATGTGTGTACTATATGTATGATAGATATAGCAGATCGGCAGGGCGAATACAGTGCGCAGCATCTGAAGCCATGGGGAAATATTCCCTTTCACAAATCATTACTGTGCCCATGAAACGCACTGTATTTCTCCACTTGCTCGCATTAAATTTATCTCAAATTCTCTTCATCTCCACTCTATTTTGTTTTCGTTTCGATCATATAGTTTATGTATAAAAAGCATTAAAAGTATAAATAATTCCTTTTGAAATCCGATCTCATGCCGAACGTCTTCCAAGGTGCATCGATAAAGGTAATTATAATAAAAACAAAGCATAAAAATTACATAATAAAATTACTTAAAATTTAGCAATAGCTACAACAGCAGTGCAACTTATGTATATACACACACATCTGGTGTAAATAGCTCTGGTTAGATACACCTTTACATGCTCCTCCTCCTCCTCCTCCTCCATTCAAATCAATCGAATAAAAAAATGAAAAAAATGTAAATCATAAAAAAAAAACAGATTCCTTTCTCTGTTTAGAAGAAGGTCGAAAATTTGCGTTTGTTCTGATTGTGGTTGTGGTTCTGGTGCGAATATTGGTGCTGCTGCTGCTGCGACTGCAACTGCAACTGCTGCTGCTGGTGATGATGATGAAGATGGTGGTGCTGTTGACTATTCGTTCCCAGGCCATTGCTCATCGGTTTGAGCGGCAAGACGGGAACGCAGGCGTAGGCAGCCGGCTCCACTAGTTGGGCATTGTAGAACTGCGCCGGCTGCGCGGCAACTGGAGGAGGTGCAGCAGCAGCTGCCGGGGCAGCCAGCGCTGGACCCGCCGGAGCTTGGCTGGCGGGCGGCATCAGGAGCACGGGCACCACCACGGGTTATACGGAGATCTCGTAGTTCATGTCGTAGATGCTGGCCCTATCCGGAGTCCCCGAATTGGAGGCGTTGCCCTGCATTAGATGGCCAGCATTGGGTCCACCACCCGGCTGCTGATTGCTGCCCACCACCGAACCGCTGCCGGGGATTCCGCCGTTCTGCTGCTGCTCCAGCGACTGCATCTCCATCGAGTCCGTCATCTCCAGCGCTCGCACGAAGCTCATGGGCCGCGTGGGCGTCTGCTTTCGCTTGATCTGCGGCGACGGCTGCGTCTGCAGGTTGCCACCGCCCGGATTGCCCAATGGATTGGGTGGAAACACGGCCACTCCGCCGCGCAACGCCGGCTGATAGCCACCACCACCGCCGCCTCCTCCTCCTCCTCCTCCGCTGACGGGATTTGTGGCCGTCACGCTGGCCAAACTGCCGCTGCTGCCGGCTGCTCCGGCAGCTCCTCCGCCGCCGTAGCGCAGTATGTAGCCCTGGCCAGCTCCTCCGGTTGCCACCTGTGGCATGGTGGTGGGACTCGTCGGATTGGAGCGATGATATGATGCTGCTGCCGCTGCCGCCGCCGCCGCCGCCTGTTGCTGCTGCTGCTGGATGGCGAAGTCCTGGAGCCGCGAGTGCGTCATGATCAGCGGATGGGCTCCGCCGCCCGCCGTCATGTACTGGGCATGCGGCATCACCCCGCCGCCGGTGGCTCCGCTGCTGGCCAGCGTGCCCGCACTGCTGCCAATCCCGCTGCTCACCACCTGCTGCACTTGCTGCTGCTGCTGCTGCTGCTGTTGCTGCTGTCCGGCGGAGGTGTTGAAACCGGGCGACGTGTCCTTCCACATGTAGACGCCGCGCTGCGGACTCCCGGCCAGCTCGCGTATGTTGTCCACCGTGTTGTTGGACCGCGCGTAGGACAACTCGCCGCCGGCCACGCCTCCTCCGCCTGCTCCCTGGCGCACCAGTTCGCCCTCGGAGAGGAAGCGCCGCTGCGGACTGCCGCCGTAGGCCGCCTGCGCCAGGGCGGCGTGCTGCGGATGTGCGGCATGCACCGCCGCCTGCTGCTGTTGCTGCTGCTGCTGCTGCAGGGCTGCGGATAGAAAGCAGAACGGGGGAGTTATTTAATTGAGTTCCACTTTAATTAAAAAACTTCATACTTCTGTACTATTTTTAAATTAGCTGTTTGTGTTTTAGCTTCTTTAAATGTAATAGATTTATTATTTATATTTAATCCCTTAGGTATATTTGTCTCTCATTTGAAATGCAGAAGAACCCCTTGCATTAATAAAAGTATCCCATGCATAAACTACTTTAAACAAGAACTATAAAAACCTAATTTTACTTATAATATTTAAAGTAACTTTACTTGCAAGAAGAATAATATTTACTGCTATTTAATTGAATACCACTTTAATTTAAAAACTTCATACTTCTGTACTAGTTTTAAGCTTCCACTTTTAGCTCCTTTAAATTTAATAGATTTATTATTTATATTTAATCCCTTAGGTATATTTGTCTCTCATTTGAAATGCAGAAGAACCTCTTGCATTAATAAAAGTATCCCATGCATAAACTACTTCAATCATAGTACAATATAAACCCCATTTTACTCATAATATTTTGCAACTGAAAGTGATAGGTTGTCCCTAGTTCCTGGACCACTCACCCTGCTGCTGCTGCTGGTGCTGCATGAGGACGCGCTGCTGCTGCAGCAGCAACTGCTGCTGCTGCTGCTGGATGCTGGGCGCCTGCGGATGCTGCGGCGGCAGCCCGCTGGTGTACTCGTAGTAGGCCGCTGCTGCCGCCGCCGCCGCTGCCTGTTGCTGCTGCTGCTGCTGCGCCACCGCCTGGGCGTTCAGTCCAATGAAGTCGGGGCGTCGCGGCTGAGTGGGCGTGCCCGGATTAGACCTGTTGGCGGTACACACACACAAATCGGGGGTTAGTTTACCAGTAAAATGCAGAATAATCATTCGAAAAGCATGCCGAGAGAGCACTAAAGCTGCAGCAGTTTTAACGCCTGGATGTTAGAACTTAACTGACGGTTAGAAAAACGATAGCGATCAATGAGCGAAGGACGGATATTTATTGGGTGTTCTGATCCGATCGGATATGAGTGAGATTATGGCCTTGCAACGGGGGTTAAAACCACAAATTGGTGTCAGGATCGTTTAGTAACCGAGAAGTTATCGACACAATAAAATACTGGCAGACTGCAGCAAATAAACTCACTTGCAGTTAGAACATGTTTAGTAGTAATTAAATATTATTGAACATGTAAATTATCCCGAGTCACCTTTTAAATCCTAAACTCTGACTACTATTAGGCTTAACTTAATTGTAGGTTATCTGAAGTGGGAGGGCAATCTCTTGTTGTTAATAAATCACAAACAATTCGATGACCCAATATTTTAGTTGTGTTTGTTTTATTGCTAATTAGCCACCAACACACGATGAATGACCAGGTAGCAATCGGTTTAAATCAGGCTGTTAGATGTGGAATCAGATCCAATATTCATATTCCTTGATCTTTCGGGGACAAAGAACGTGGCTTAAGACATCGCTGGCTTCTGTTGGCGTCCCCGCAAAGCTTCTCCTCCGGCACCTCCGACTCCGATTCCGATTCCGGCCAATGCCATGGCTATCGTTCCGATCAGTCCGCTGTTCGCCACCCGCTGGACAAAGACAACCACTGTGCGCGGCACATCCGATCGCACCACCTGCACCACCAGATGCAGCATGTTGACCACACAGTAGAGCAGGCCGCAGACGACGATCAGCGGTGCCAGCACCAGTTTGGTCTGCACCGAGTACCGGCTGGTGTCCTCCAGGTCGAAGAACTCCCACAGATTGGCGTTGCCCAGGAAGCGCCGCCGCATCCCCACCGCCTGGTTCTTCAGCCAGCTGAAGTACCAGCAGAGCAGGAAGAGCACATGGGATGCCAGGCAGCCGAGCACCAGACCGGCCAGTGTGATGTAGTCCATCTTGGCGGCGCTTCCCTCGCCGGCCGGCGACTGGACCAGTCCACTCCCGTAGGCCCTCAGCAGGGATTGGGCCAACAGCCAGCTCTGCTGGGCGGCAAGGTCACCCTCGGCACTCTCGTACGATTTACTGCCCTCCAGTTCCATCTGTATCTGCTTGCGGCGCTCCTTCCTCTCCCTCCTCAAGTGTTCCCGATACTGTTCCCTTTTCAAGTCCTCTTCGTACTTCATCCTCTTGCTCCGCAAGTCCGTTTGGCTGCCATAAATCGATTGAGGTTTTCGAGACACTTCCTTTGGCAGCTCCAGCTCACTTGGCACCCTGGGCATCCGAATGCCTGCGTTAGTCGGCGAGGCTCGCTCACCCAAGTGCACTCGTTTGGGCAGAACTCGTTTCTGATCCGCTGAAGGTGGGCCACCATCGCCGCCAGCCGATTCCACGAAGGATTTGCTGGCGATGATTTGGCTGGAGCCAACACTCTGCATTCTCTCCTTGGAGACTCCAACTCCAGCTCCAAGTCCTTCTTTCCCTGCTTTTCCTTTCCCTGCTTCCAATTCCACTCCACCTGCTCGAAGTCTGGAGAATCTGCTGCGCATCTGCTGAGGAGGCGGTCGTGGCAACAGCCCACTCATCTCGTACTGCAATCCATTGAAGCTGAACTGTCGACGAGCTCGCAATTCTGGAGCAGTGACCACGGAAATCGGAAGCGTTTTGTCCAGCAGATTCAGGGATTTGTTGAGATTCTGTGTCTGGTTCATGGTGGCTTCTCTATATTTTTCTCTATCCACACTACGAATTTACTAATGGCTATTATCTTTTATTTCCCCTTGATTTCGTTTGATTCTCTTCGAAATCCTGCGACTTCTCGATTGGAAAGTTACGAGACAAAAGATAAAGCCGAATGCCGAAAATGAAAAAAGTGTACAAAAAATTTACGTTCCGTCTTTCCAATGTGTTTTAGAGAGCTCGATTCTGAGTTCTGCCCGAACTTTGTACTATATTTGACAGCTGTGTTACACCGATCACTTGGATTATATACAAATCGAATTATTTCAAGGAAATCACTGAACTGTATCAGAACTTTTTAAAATAAATAGTTTGGCTCCATTATTATTGTATTATATCCACACAAAAGAAACAAGATGGGAATGTTAAATAGGAGTAAAAGATTTCACACTAAACCTAATGTTAACCCTTCGATAAGCTCTATTATTTTAATAATTACTTGATCAACAGAAATATAGATCACAGGAGATATTCGTTGTTAAATCGAAATGCCGTTCCAATAAAATCAAACAACCACAGAAATGAAAGAATGCCGAAGGATGGAACGTGGTCAAATGGATTAGGGAGAACCTGAACCGCGGGTTAAATGCGCATGTGATTGGGTGAAGGAGGGTTAAAGGCGGACGCAAAACGAAAACGGCAACCAAAATGAACGGAAACGGTAACGAAAACGAAAACGAAAACGGTAAGGAACGAAAGAATGAAAGCGAAACGGAAGTAAACGGAAAGAAAGAAAGTAAAACTCACCTCGCGCGGCAGAAAGAAAGTAGAAGGATTACAATATTTCGGATCGGTTCGGTTCGGTTAACGGTTTGCAGAGTGGTTCAAGTTCGCGAGTGGTTCAAGTGGTTGCCAGTGGTTCAGTGGTTCGGGTGGAGGTTGACAAAAAAGAGCGAAGAGTGGAGAGCGAGAGCGCAAGAAAGAGACGACGACAACGAAACGGAAACAATTGGGTTTTTCTTTTTGGTTCGGTTTCCGGTTCAGTTAACTTTTTTGTTCCCTTCTGCATTTCGATATCATTTTTATCCTTTTCGGGCTTAACTTACACATTGCATTACTTATGTATTTCGTACTCTTTTATTTATTCTTCTCTTTTTAATCGACTTATAAAATATTCGTATTTTATGTTTTTGTTTCTTGGGTTTTTCTGTAGTTTCATCTTTGATTTGGTTTTCTTTTTTTTTAAGCTAAGCCTAGGAATTAGTACTGTTCTCAGAATTTGAGTATTGACTACATCGATCAAATCAACGGATCACAAAAAAAGGAAAAAGAAACGGTGGGAAAAAATAATTAATTAGTTTATAAGGTGGAAAGAAAAGGAGCCGAGTGAAATGAGCGGTAAAACAACCAAATTGATGAGGGGACGCAAAAGAGCAACAAATAGAGTGGGTTGTAAATATATAGAAGCGGGGTTACTGACCCTCAGGGCATCTCTTTCATATTCGCGCTCTATATCTATCCCATTTCTTTTTCTTTTTCTACTCATCTAAACGGTCACAGGTGCGAAAGGGAGAGCGATAAAGTGTAGTTCCCTTTCATACAGTTATTTCTCCCAGGGAAATAATAATATTTCTGCTTTAAATATTGTCATAAGTATAGTTGAAGCACTTTTGATTCTCACGCCTACAAGAAAATTACTGGAGGCGGCGAAGTAGCTAAAGTCAATAAACAAACAAACGGTAAAGCTAAAACTAAAGGTTTTGGCTTATCAAAATCAACACAACTAAACAGGCACAATCACACATACAAGGAAATTCGCGCATATACAATTCGCTTAACCCTTTTAAGTTATATAAGTTATTTTAAACTTAATAGGAATTACAAAAAAATGGAATTTACTTAGGATAAATCATAGAAATATTCAAACCTAAACACATGTGGATAGAAACAACAAAAAATTATATAATTTTGAATGATATTGATACTAAATTTGTTACTTTAAATAACAAGTTATGTGATTCAAATATAAACAAATAATAAGCACTATATTGATTAGTTAAAGTACTTTGATCTACAGAGCTTGGATTTAAGTCCAACTCGTGGCGTTTAAGGGAGTTTAACTTTGTATCGCCAGCGGGCTTAAAAGGGTTAAGCTTCGGGAGCAGCAGCAACAACAACAAACAACAACTACAACGACTAAAGGCAAAGGGGCGGGGGCGTTGGGCGGGGCAATTGGGCGGTGGGGGACCGTGAAAACATATGGCGGTAAATTGAGACTGGAGGCGCACTCACCTTCGCACTGGACTCGCCATCACGAGGGGCGTGGCCACGCCCAGCGGCTTGATCCGCTGCTGCATGGTGGGCGTGGCCGTGGTCGTCGCGCTGCGTTGATTTTGTGCTGCCACCGCCGCCGCGGCCGCTGCCGCCGCCAGCGCCTGCTGTTGCTGCTGCTGCGGTCCGTTGACGCCGACGCCGACGGCATAGCCAACGGGATGGTCCGGCGACAGGGCGTCACTCGTGTAGCCCCGCTGCGGATCCAGACCCCTGCGGGGATAAAACGACAACGGTCAGATGCGATTGACTATATGCGAGTATGCACTCAAACATATGTGTGCACTTATCGTCACCGTAAACTAATTTGTGCAAGAACTACGAGTATGTGTGTGGAAGAACTTAAAGGGGCAAAGTAATACATATTTCTAGTGGAATTCCTATCAGTTTGAAAATACCTATTAAACATACATATTTGTTGCATTACATTTTGTACAAAAATGAACTCATTGGTGTTTTAAAAATAATACAAGCATTGGCACCTATTTAATACAAAGTAACTCTGTACAACTAGTCGTATACGTAATGTACGAAGTAGTTCAAGAAATCAGGGTAAGGGGTAAACAAGTCGTATACTTAATATGTAAAGTTAACCAAGAAATCAATTTATGTGCTATTCAAAGCACTTCATTCTTCGGATTTCCCCGAACTCATAGTTTAACATAACATAAAAATACATAAAAGCCACTAATAACACAGGTCGTATAAGTGATTCTACCCTAGTTTCACTGGAAATCCAAGGCACTCTGTAGTAGAGCAGCCAATTATTATTTCATTTGAATAATAAATAAGTAAAATTCCCGGAAATCGAGGGACACATAGTGCGTGCGGCTCTCCATTCCCCCTTTTTGGCCCCCGCTCCGCTGCTGAAGGCAGCAAATAGCTGGCTTAAATCCACACTGATTAGGCCTAATTAACTCACCGGGGCCTCGCGTGCGGACTGTGACGCGGATGGTAGAGACGCATGTGACGTGGTGAGTCGCCGCCACCGCCGCCGCCGCCACTTCCTCCTCCGCCGCCTGTGGAAACGCTGCCGTTGAGACCGCCGGCATCGCTCACCTGCGGCAGGTAGAAGCTGCTGGAGTTGTGCCGCTGCAAAGGAGGCGTCGGCTCGCAGTCCTGACTCTGGGAGGCGGGCGGCGGTTCCAGATCCGTATCGGAGCACTCTCGTCCCGGCGAAAGCTGCGAAGTGGAAAGGGGATTATCGAAAGGCGATCCATTAGTCTTCGTCTGGCAAAGGACACACGAAAAACAGGCGAAAAAGAGATGAGATCGACACAGACTTAGGCCTACATTTAGTTGCGATCATTTCCAAAAAACAAATGGAAAAGTAAAAACAAAGATGGAAAGTATAGAAAAACTGGACTGATCAAGTTTCATTTTCACGCATTTAAAGACATATTTAGGGGAACATTTTAAATTTGTATTATCCTTGTAAAAATCACATTTAAGTAAAACTCATACAGAACATTAATTTTAGGAAATTGTTTAGGGTGCCACTTTCATATAAAATACCGACGATTAAAACTTTAAAACATTAGGGATTGAATTCTTCCAGTGATTATAAATAAAAAAAAAGGAATTTATAGGTGGCCCCCAGTTCATAAAAATGTAATAAATCCTGTGAAAATGAAAGCCGTAACAGATAACGATAGAAATGAAAATAAATGAAACGGAAATGTCACAAAATAAGGGAACTGAGGATGTTCTTTTTTTTCGGTTTTGGTTTTTTGGGTGGGGGAAGGAGGATAGTGGATAGTGGATAGTGGACAGTGGAGTGAAGTGGAGTGGGTGGGGTGCCTCCTCCTTCTAGCCCCGCGACCCCAGCTAATTAATTGTAGTTTAACGCATACTGTGCCCTAAAGTGGAAAGCCCAAAGTGGAAATTCTTTCCACAAAGTAATTAACTTCAGAACAAAGAGTCAGCAAGAAAAAGTGTGGAAAAGTCAGAGATGGAATAGAAGAGGAAAACTCGAAAAAGCACTGCGTAATGACAAACATTTTTAAAATAATAAAGAAAACGGAAGGAAACCCTTTAGATATATATTTCTCGGTAAAAACCTTTGTGTTTAAAATGATTGATATTTAGGAACGCTTAAATAGTGAAATAAATAACTGCATTCTGGGTTCAAAGTTTATCTTGGCAAAACAGTGACTAATAAAATATTTCCCAATAGTTTGTAATCATTCGAATTAGTTTGTGTGGCAGACTGGTGATAAAGAGAAGGGGAAAACTGGATAGACAAAAGTATAGTCAATAGAAGAGAAGGATATATAGGGATAGAAATACAAAATTTTGACAACAACACAGGAAAATAAATCATAAGAGGACAATAAATTAAAATCAATGATTCTCCGGGGCAAGTCAAGGTCAATCAATCAATCGATCCATAAAATTAGAAATAATTTTCTTAGTTTTGAATTTTTTTTCTTGATATTTTTGTTTTTTTTTTTTTTTTTTACCTTTCTCGGTGCTTGCAGTAAGTGTAGAGTTTTTGGTTTTGTTTTCTTTTATCTTTGGCTGGTTTATTTGGAAATGCGACCAATTCTTTTCGATATAAGTATGTATGCTATATACTTCTATATATATATACTGATATAACGACAGCTCTGGGCGGCATATACAAACGATATATACGCAGTAACGGAAACGGAAGGGGTTAAAGGTGCCCAGCAAAATGAAAACGAGTCAACAAGTCAACAAAATAGAAATCAAGAGGAAATGCAGCGCATATAATAGCGGGATATCCAGCAACTTATAAAGTCAACCAAACTAAACAATTCTAGCCGCATGCATGCAAAGTGCGGTTTTTGGGGGGTTAATGCGGAGATAAATCCAGGAAATTATGAATAACAAACTGAGGAGACTATGTGGAAAGCTAGAGAAGCGAACACACCGCTTCGGCAGGTCCGAAGTTTCTGAATTTAAATGGAAAATTATGAAGCCTTTTCGCTTTTCGCTCTACGCTTTTCTCGCTTGGCGAAACTTAATCTGCAGCAAAGTGATTTTTAATTGGTTTTTGTTAAGATTTTAGGGTCAACAGGAGCGGATGGCAGCAGGTGGTTTTGTTAAAGTTTATGGTTTTGGGTTGCTCAAGTTTTAAGTAAACCATTTTATCTGAATATTTTTAGATTTTAATTCGTATAGTAGTGCGGAATCAGAAGAAATTTGTTCAAAGTTCTCTGCGTTGAAATATTCTTAAACTTCACAGACGGACTAAACTTCCAAACGAATAAAGGTAAGGTAGAGATATTATTCTAACAAACAAATGCATTAAAAACAATTACGATTTATTAGAAGGAAGAGTGATAAAATTTGTTTGTGCTTAAAGCCCTTTCAAATTGCTTATTTATAGATACCCAATTATATACAGTGACAGATACAACTAATTCTACTCGGAGTGTTCGTTAGGCCGAGCCTTCACTGTATTTTTCATGAGATGTCAAGGACAGTGGAAAGCAATTACATTGGAGAGGGTGACAAAGGGGGGAGAAACGGAAAAGTTTTGAGATGGTGAGCGTTGCTTTCTCTAAATGGTTGTGCATCATTTGGTTTGCTTGTCCTTCAATTAAACGGGCGTGGCACTACCAACTAACTAACATCTCCCTACCACCCCTTCGGTTTTTGTTTTGTTTTTGTTTTTTGCGAGGGAAAGCTGGGAAATAATAATACTAAATGCAGCAGAAGAAGATGTAGAAGAAGCGGCAGCCAAAAAAGTTTTGCAGTGCAAACGGAAAAGCGGTTGGAGGTGGAGGTGTGGTGGAAAATGGGATTGAAGGATGTGTTGTGTGGAGCAGCTGGGGAAAAGCGGAAAAACTTTTATTCGCCCACACAGGGAACGAATCAAAAACAACAAGAACAACAGCGGCAACAACAACACAAAGATACTTCACAGATTTGCGCCGATATATAGTACAAAGCTCTCTACATATATATGAGCGGTATATATGTATATGTTTATATTTATATCGATTTTGTAGTTAATTAGTCAAAGCATTAAGCGGGTGGGGGGCGTAGGGGGCGGGGCTGACGGGGGGTTATTTGGGGATTACAGCAAATGATAAATCATACGAAATGAGCAAAGGAAAATGTTGTGAAAATAGAAACAGAACCAAGAAGTAAGAAGTAAGAGGTCAAGAAAATCAAATGGAAATTGTTTACATTTAGGCGAGATGAGAAATGAAAACAAAATCAAAAACACAAACATAAACAAACAACTGTTAACGGTTACAATTACAGTAAAGTAAACACAAATTACGATTACAACAACATTTACTAAGCCAAACAACAACAACAACAACAATAACAACAATAACAACAGGTGGCTTCAGCAATTGCTCAACAAGAACTTTATACTTTAATTAAAAATTGATTTTTCATTGGGATTTGAAATTGATATTTCAAGTGAACTTTTAGCCAGTAGTGTAAAATCAGTTAAATTAGCAATTACAATTCACACAAAATAGTTATTAAACTGTAGAACAATCGTTTAAACTGTAGTAAATTATTATAGAACCAACACCTAAAGGTATTTTCAATTTCTAAAGTTGGTCAAGGTGTATTTGTAACAAATAAGCTTTTGGAAAACTTGAGCAATGGCTGTGCCACCACCTGTGGCACACTATTGGTGGTACATTAGATACAATAGATATAGGATACATAGATATATGTAGTAGGAATCTGAGTTTCGCATAGCAACTGCTTCGCTTTTCTCGGTGATATTGCAAAATCTTGTTGTTTACCCACCTTACTGTAAAGCGTTGTGCTGCCCGACCGTTGATTATAACCATTGCCCTCGGCCATATAAGTCTTTACCTGAATTCCGCGCTTCTCGCGACTCGCGTCGTAGAATGAGCGTGGTGAGTACTGCACCGCAGTGCCTCGCATACCGCCACCGCCACCGCCTCCCCCGCCGCCCGCTCCACCGCCGCCGGCCGCTGCAGCGGTACCATTGCCGCCGGCCCCGCCCCCGGCGCCCGTCTGCTGGCCGCTCCGGTCGTTGCAAATGGTGCTGATCGCCTGATTCTGCACCTGCGATCGCCGCGATGCGTACTTCTTCGGATTCAGTAGGCTGAAAATATAGTGAGTTACATAACTAATTAATAAGGAATGCAAAATAAGAGTGAAATCAATAGATATTAGTATAAGCATGTCTCTAATGAATCTGTTTATTCCTAACATAATGCTATATATTATTATTTATTTCGAAATATAACTAATTACACCCTATGTAAGTTGTTTACTATTGAACCTTGAAAACATCTCCATATTATGTTGATATTAAATACTCTCAGCAATCCCGGTAAAGTATATCACCAAGGGAGCCAAACTCAATATAACTGGCAACACAACTCGAATGTTTACAATCTAAAATACTATTATTTCAATTTGCAGTTAAATTGCCTGCCGAAGGACATGTAATTTGAAGCCAATAATTGGCTGTCCAATTTGCGTATTTATTGCAGTAATTTCCGGACTCCCTCGAGTGAAAAGTGTCACAGTGGGGCCTCCGAATAGATGACTGACTGGCTGAATGACCGACTGACTCACCTGGGATACTGTGGTCCGAACTGTGTGTAGCAGCAGTTGTGCCAGCAGCCGCGCGAGAATGGATTGTAGCCGCCCTTGAACTTTCCCGTGACCTGTTCGTTGGTCGTTCGACCCCGCGACACCAAGACCATGTGGAAGCCGGTCAAACCGAAAATGGGTATGGCCAAAATGGTCACCAGGCCCATCAGGATCATGCTGTATACGAAATAAGTTAAGGCAAACCAATTGGCGGGAAATAAATGTGGCTAAAGGAACAATCTTTACAAAGGGTATTTAAGTTAATGGTATTGAAAGTTTCCTTTAACCAATTCTGTTTTTTGTTCACTATTGTATTTTTGAAAAAGGATACGCTACAATGGGCGCCGTGTCCTTGATGTTGGGCATTATCTTCAGCACGTAGACCAAACACAGCGAGAAAATGCTCAGCATGTGAATGGAAAGCGATACGAGGAAGAAGAAAAAGAATCTGTAGTTCCGCCTGCCGATGCAGTTGTTGACCCACGGACAATGGTGATCGAAGGTCTGGAAAGGATGATGAAATTAGTTAGTACCTTCGATACGATAATTTAAATGAAGGACTCACCTCTATGCAGTGATTGCATACGGAACAGTGGGAACAGCGTGGCGGGCGGTAGAACTTACAGGTGACGCACCACTTCATCTTGACGGTGATGCCGTTGATCTCGGCATTCTTGTAGAGCGGGGCGCGCAGCTCCTCCTCGCAGTCTTCGTCGGGCGAGGCTAGAATGCAGTCAAGTTTAGGCCGTGACGATTGGCGCTGGCCCCTGCTCAGCACGCTACATACCTTTGGGGATGATGCCCGGGTCCATGAACGTGGCCAGCGTGAAGTTGGCCAGCACGAAGAATGTGATGACGCCCTGGTAGGCCAGCACCCATGGATGGCTCTTCACGTAGTATTGGCAGCTGGAAGAGGCAATGCAAAAAAGAGGAGGTATTATTAGTACAATAATAATAGAGATACACAATCTTAATATGTTTATTATGCTTATGGTACCTTTAAGGCTATTTACATACTTCTATTTCATTTACTTATATTAACCATTTAGTTGATGAGCCCACCATTAATAATTGAACATTTTTAAAACACCCCAAAAATAGTTGAATATTTAATGAGTTTGAGGACCATCTAATAACCCTTTTAATAATAGCTATATGGTTCGTATTCTTTCAGTTTCGACCCCACTTAAAGCCGCTTACCGAACACGTTTGAAAGTGGTGCACACAAGCAAATGAGCGGCTCAAAGTGGTTAGGAAACCCTCAATTTCCCCCTTGGCATTCCTTACGTAACGACTCTGCTGACCAGAGGCCAGATTAATGAAACAGCCGAGGAAGAACTGTGACGACACATCTGGTGGGTTTGCAATCAGCCTTTTTCGGGAGAGTGACACAGTTGCCTTTTCATGTGAGCGCTGCTCTTTGAGTAGGCCGAAAATCGGTCGAAAAGCCTTCGACCACATTGTTGACCATTAAGCAAGAGGTGGCCAGGCCAGGACACCAGGACACCAGGACATTGGGACACCGGGACACCGGGTGGCCAGGAGGAAAGGGGAGCCCAAGGCTACGGTTATCCAACGAAGCCCACCCGTCGTGTCGCCGCAATCACTTTAGAGTCTACTGAACCGGAACTGTTTTGTCGGTTGAGACCGACGAGCCCCCTCAAAGCCCCCAACTCCAATCGTTCCGATCCCCCATCGTACAATACGCCACCCCGGCGAACTCGACCCGCATCGGAATCAAAACGAACCGAAACCGAACGGAATGTGAACCGAACCTTAACACTCTCGAACCCTCGGAAAAGTCCTGGGTGTGTGGAATATTTAATTTGGAAAAGTGCGGTTGGACTTCACATCATGAAATTGTAATTATCCAAAAAAAATATGTAGTTTTTTGTACATTATATTAAATATATTTGTATGGAAATAAATTAACAATTACTCATGGAATACTGTATTTTTATTTTACTTTTAGGGAATTTTTAAATTTAAAATGCCAATAAAAATATATATATATAAAGCCATTAATGTGCTCTTCGGTTCGCGATTGGTTATTGCAGCCTTCCAAACTTTGGCAATAAAACTTTTATCGTTTATCGTTTAACCCCGCGTTTATTTGCAGAAGACCCCCTTTGAATGCAATGTGAGTGCGGGGTGCTTAAGGGGTTAAGTCAACCACATGCCATGAATGTTGCAATGTTGCAAGGGCGATATACACGTGTCCTTTAGCCCATTTCCATTTCCGTCTGTCGCTGCCCGCCCGACTTTCCCGACATTTCCCCACCACAACCCCTCTCTCTCCCCCCCTCCCCCTCCCTCCTTCTCCTTCTCTTTCTCTTTCTCTGATGCATTTGCAATGATGTGCGGAACATTCTGGTGGTTTCGGTTTACGGGCTCCTGTTTACGGGTTACTTAAGGTGAATGTATTACTTTCTTCCGGCATTTCTCACTGCATTACGCTGCCCTCTGACCTCCGCCATCCGCCATCCGCCGCCTTCCGGCTCCACTCTCCGCTTCTCCCGTGGAATGCTGAAAGGCAGACCGCTGCTGAATTCTAATGGATAAACTCATGCTTAATGCAACCACCATCATCGTTTACCAGCTCATCATCAATCTGCACATCATTTTCTTTTCTTCTTCTGCAGTGGATTCCTCGTTACAGTGGTAACTTTTTCATTCCACACTTTGTTTTGTTGGTATTAAGAAAGATTATTCCAATTTAGAGTCAGACGGAAAAGAGTAAGGTTTGTGTTGGCCAATACTTTGTACACTGCTTAAAACAACCACTGGGCTGCAACTCTAAAATTCTATTCCCATTATCATCGTCATCTTCACATTTTCCGCCAGCCCCTCTTGGTGCCACATCAACTTCATCATCGCCGGCAGTCCTTCGTTGCATTATAATTGGCAGAATGACCTCAGACTGACAGTTTTCCGTTTCCATTTTCTTCTTTTCAACACTACTGCTGCTGTTTTTTCTGTTGCATTTTCCAGTTGCTCTGGCTGCCCGTTAGCTTCGCACTCGCTCTCCGGACAATTGCCTCGAGCCAGAGAGAGAGAGTTTTCCGAGGCGAGGAAAAGCAGTTGAGCACACAGTCCAGATTTCGAATTTTCGCTAACGGCGATTGCACACAAATGTTCACACCTCCGCTATCTGTATCCGTATCTCTGAATCTGATTCGGGAAATCACAAGCGGAATAGGAATAGGAATTAGAATCAGAATCAGAATCAGAATCGGAATCTGAATCTAAATCCCGGGATGTCGGCTTGCTTTTGCTTTTGCTTCTGCTTCTGGTTTTGATTTATTTCGGCATTCTTATCGCATTTATTCCAACGCTTACGGTTGTTACAAAACAAAGAGCTCTATCTCATCCAGTGGCATTTGCATACAATTTTTAGAATGCAAATAAAACTGGAACGTAGCAACTCTCAGCACGTGCCAGGGATTTATGTTAATCGCTCGGAGACAAAGAAAATAGGGAATAGAGAATCTGGCAGGGGGGTTCGAGGTCGAGAAGTGGGGATAAAGCCGAGAAGAAACAGAGCAAAACGGGCTAACGATGGAGAACGGAAAACGGAGAACGGGAGCCAAGATGGAGAAACCTCAAGTATTTGACGAGGGCTGCGAAAGTAATTAATTAAGCTGACGTTTATTATCAACTGCAAGCCACGCTTTATTAATAAATTCCTCGCCTCTGCAGTTTTTGGAATGCCTCCCTCACTTTTTATAAATCAGAGTCAGTTGCAAATTGAAATTTTTCAAATTTTATGCAGCGGCAAGCCACAAGCTTAAACTAGAAATACATAGTTGTCTTAATTGCTTGCAGCTTCGGTTTCAATCGAGCCATAATTTCAGATAATTGCCGGAATATTCCTTATATTAGCAAACGGCACTTTAATTCAATTGTATCTTTAAATCAAGCAGCAAAGGCAAAGGGATAAATATTTATTTATTTACTCGAAGGCATAAACATTGCAACTGTGCAAACAAATCTTAAATTGCACAATTCCCATTAAGGCGCCGAGCAATAAAACCAAAATGGCAACGGCAACTGTTCAATGTTAATGATTGGACGGACGGAACAGTCACTGTGTATATAGTATATGTGCAGGAATCTGAATCTAATCGACTCGCATCGAATATCAAAATGACAGCTCACCTTCCACCTGCCAACACCCCATCTTAAATATATATTTATGGTGGATCCACCTAGCAACGTGATTTTCATTGCTAATTGAGGGTGGTGCCACTTTCGAAGTTAGAAAAAATGAGAACCACATAGAAAAGAAATAAGCAAAGTTATATACAACTCAAAGCTTATAGCGATGCCTTATCTCCGAACTGATGCCCGATTATGATTCAGGTGTGCAGCTATATAATCCACACAAATATATATTACACTTGTTTGCTTTACTTTTCAATTTAGCAAAAATGTTTGCCAACTCCCGGCAGGGAAATCTGTTTACATTTATGCAAAGTCAGGCAGAAAAGAGGGTGGCCAAAGCCGAGCAGAAAGAGTTGGCCCACAAAATGACAGCTCAAAAAAGGAGAAAAAAAAAAAGAAAACCAAGCGAGAAAGAAATAAAATAAAGTACACAGAAGGCCCAAGGATTTGCCGCTGTCTTATGACAAATAATTCATTTCAATTTCCCGAAAGGAGAGAGGGTGGTGCTGGAGGAGTCGAGGAACTAGGGCAAACTAGCAAATCAAATTAGTGACAAGACCGCAGCAAGGACAATAAAAGCACACACAAATATACAAACATATATGTCAAGAGCCCGGAGCCTCCTTCTAAGCCACTGAGCCACTGAACCACCGAACCACCCACACAGAATGTGGTTGACTTCAATTAATGTTTTGCGCCATCAAATTGAAACAAATTGCCAAGGAAAACAAATAAACAGTGATTTGCATTGATTGAAATATAATTTCAGCCAGGCGTTTGCATTTCTAGGAAGGCTCGGGGATTTGTTTGAGGATAAATCTTGAAGGAGGAATGTAATGGGTTTAATATGTAGGTAATGCACGAAAGAACTTCTTAGTCAGTTTATAAGACTAGTGGGGGTTACCTTACCTAATTTAATTATAAGCACAATGGATAAATTAATAAATTATGTAAAAGAAAAAATATTTGAACTCATGAAATTAATAAAATACTTTTTATATTAAAGTCTGTGCTTTGCCTTCTAAATACCGGTAAATATTTTACAAGGATTACCCTTCTCACAGTTTTTCAGCTCCTTTAAAGTGAATGTTCCCCGGAGAAATGCCGGCCCGGCCCTATCAATTTCAATTCCCGACTAAATTCCAGCAGAGTTAAGATATTTTATTTACTGCACGGCAATGTCAGCTTCCTGTCTCCGTGTCGACCTTCAGGCCCCATGCCACACAGTTATTGCATCACTGTGGCATTGTCAAGGTGAAGGAGACTCAGCGGGTTACCGGTGGACACCAACACAACAACAACAACAACAACAATTTAAAGCTTAACCGCTGCGATACACATTTTTGTGTTTTTTATTCAGTCTCCACAACTTAAGCGTAAAGTATTTTTCAAGAGCATTTCCTGTGGGGCGGGGAGGGGAATTCCAAATCAGTGGGGCGGGGTTGTGAAATCGAGAGGGGGCTGGGATACTTCAAGGAGACACTTGCAGGAAATTGAATTCCTATGTTAAGCGCTTGCCTCAAAGACAGACGGTCGCGCCGTTGGGGGAGGATATTAGGAGCCCAATGGCAAAATGTCACATTCAGGCGAAGTGCGACAAGATTATGCACCCCCCACCCCCTCCCCGTTGTCACCGGGTCATAAAGATGGAAAGTCAATTACCAAAAGGGACAGAAGCCGCCGGTGGACGGTGGGCGTTGGGCGGTGGACGATGAGCGATGGCCGGCACAAACATGCGCGAG